CACGGCAACAAAAAAAAGATGCCCGCGGTAGGCCAGGGTGCACGCGGAAGAGAAGCACTGAAACCTGCACAGATGCTACCCTGAATGCCGGAAGGTTGCCATACTGACAAAAGGCAAAGTTAAAATAACAAAAACGGCAATAACGACAAATATCACCCTTCGTTCCCTTTAAGAAATCTCGTTCCTTGTAAATGTCATCGAATAACGAATCAAGGTGTGCAGTCAGGAAAAAATTTCAAGACAACATGACAGAAACATGACAACAACGGCATGATGATATGTCTAGTCCATCATTTGTCTCATGGATTCGTCGTACTGCTGGCTAGCAACAAGCGCGGAAAGATACATCTAGACCAGACCAGCAATTGCACAGGAGTCGGTATTATGCGGAAGCAGTTAAGACTGACTAGCGTAATCAATTTAAGCCGTGCAGTACTTGGAGTAGAGTTTAAATGACGATGGTACACAGGGAGAGGAATTACGGTACCATATCAGAGAGGAATTACAGTATACATATCTGAAAAACACTGTTTAATTGATTGTCTCATTTCATCACCGTGCGAAAAAGACGAAGTATATCTTTCTCTCCACCTAAAATTACCTAAAATGCATTTTTCTGATCTTCCGCTGAGAGGGTAGATGGCATGGGCGAATCGTTACCCACGCTTTCATCAGGGTTTCCGTCCAAGTTCGCAGTCAGAATATTTTCCTCCTATAAAGATTTACTCTCAAAACATAAGAAGCTCAGTCAGTCCATTTTACCCAGTGTCTTTAACCACTGCTTCAAGACCCAGAGAGGTTTTAAAAGCTGAGAAAAATACTCCCACCACAATGTCCCGACTCTGACATGCTACTCCGGTTTTAGTCCGCTTTCCATTACGGGGGCAAAAGAAGGATTTGTGGACAACATACAAAATCAGAAAGACAGATCGTTAGACTGCCGCAATGAGAAAGAAAAGAGGATACTAGTGAAATGATGTTTATGAATTAACAGTTTTAAGAATCATACAGATACCACACCGTGGATGACTTGAAGGTGATAGGTCTTTTGATTTAATGATCTAAAAACGTCTTTCGTGCTTCTAAGCATGAAATCAGAAGACCTATTAAATTCATAAATTAATTTTCAGACAACCGTTCTCGCTGTTAAACTGACAAGTGTACATTCTGCGAGCGTGAACTAAGAAACTGGTAGTGGCTTTACAATGAACAACTCATTTTAGAGGCTATGTACGCACTGCCACATTGATCATAACAGATAAGAGAAGGAACAAGACGTCATACACGGACACAAAAAGTATATAATCGAATACTAAATATTATACGCATGCAGTAATATGACCAAATTACCATATTTAAATTACAATTATTTTCGTATGAATATCCTTTTCCGTCGCCACTAATAAAACAGCTGACGTGGAGTGGAGGCTAAACATCATGTCGCCTGTTGTTCTAATAGAGAATGGACACTGACTAATACACACGAAGTCAGAGTGTTCGCCAGTGCTTTGGGTCATACCAAAAAATCACATGATGTCTCCAAGATTACAGGATCTGAAATCAGCAAGGATCAAATATTCATCATGCTTTGAATGAAATACTGAGAGAGAGAATGAAGTGTCAGCGGCTAAGACCATACGTATCATAACCAGTCCAGTCCTATCATATTTTCATAACATTAAGAATCCAAATGCTAAATTAATACAAAAACATCCATTTTCATGAACCACCTGTGTGCCAAGTCAATAGGCATTATAAAGGACAGAGCATATCGCAAACGCCAATGAAACGTAACACTACTGTAAGGTTTGCAAGTACGACATGCAGATAACCACATCGAACAGATTACTGCAACATAATTTCAAACCACGGCTTCCATAGGACCGTAAGGATTAAGGAAACGACAGGAATTCTCTAATAGTCAAAATATTAATTTCCCTTCCATTTCTGTGACGCGCGTCAATAGAGATATCATTTTTCAACGGAGTTTAAAGCATGGTTTCAATCTTATAGGCGGCATTCCATCACCTATGGCTTCCGTTTTCTTCCCTCACACAATGACTGAAAAAAATGTTATCTTCAGTTTAGAAAGATCAAGACATCAAGTCAAACGTAGGCAGAAATATTATACAATTTATTGAGATGGCATGTATAGCACAGTCGGAATGTTTCGTCCAATTAGCATATGACAGAATAAAGAGTAAAGTGCTTGGGAGAAACTAAATGCCGTAGTGCACGAATATCTTTAAGAAAAGAGCTTTAAATTCTTATTTAATAGCATTATAAAGGAGATGAGCATTTCGCTGCGTCATAAGCTGCACTGAAATAATAATCTATCGTTGCCAAGTACAGAAGTGTACGGAAGGTTAATGTCTCAGCTTTGTCCAGCTCTTGGTCGCTGTCGGTACGACTAAACGGCGATATCATTAAAATTCTTTATTTCTCTATCACGATGGCAGAATTTTAACCTCAGCGAATAAAACGAGTTTCCATCATTATTAGGCGATTGCAGTAGTCAACATTTTTTGTTTTGGACTGTTTTGTCATGTCTGAACAATGAGTTCATAAAGCTGAAAATCCGATACTCCCCAACGAAATGAAAAAGTGAATTCCTCATTCTTTCGTTCAATTCGTTTCATTCAACTTGTATAGTTGTCGGTGGTCATCTATACGCGATGTTCAATCAACTAGCTGGATATGCTTGCGGAACAAAAAAGCGTGCGAGTTTGAAAGAACAGAGACATATGACTCTGCATAAATGCTATACAATATGTACATATATAAATATTTAGTTGGAACGTTTTTTGCAGTCATGCTGATAATCTCAATTCCAGTTATTTCATTCAATAAATGCTTTTTCTTCCAATTCAATGCCAGTAATCATGAGGAAGGTTCGAAGTCAAAGTTGCTCATCGCCAGCGCATACATTGTACATAACCCCTACCCATATAAATATATGCGATGATGATAAACAGTGTGGTCGTTGCTTCAACCTTTCGTTCGTTTCGCCACTACATCCTGAAGTACTTGTTTTCAGCAGAGTAATGGGGCATTGATAACTTCAGAAGCATTACTTGATGGCGCATGAACGACACATGAGGTGAAGAGGAACTGTACGTTAGCATCAACAGCTAGCAACGAGTTAAACAAACTCTTATAATGACGGTTGGCAACCATTATCACAACGCTGCGTATGTTCAGGATTTGCATTTCGGATGTCCTGCTCTATGGTTTGGAGACTGCAGCACTTAGCAGTGTTAACAGCAGAACGCTGAAAGCCACGAAAATGGTTTATGATCAGTACTGAAAATGCAGAAGTAGCTCTGGAGTGAAAAATTGGTGTAAGAGAGATATTAGGATATTCTACCTGAATGAGCGATTGGCTACAGGCAAAGTGATTAAGGGAGGTGGGATATTGTCAGTGAATAGACGATAACAGCCTTCCGAATCAAATATGGAAACAAAGCCTGATAGCAGACGACGTCAGGAATATCATAAACCAGAGGGCAGGGTCTCGTAAGAATTTACAGATGGTGTAAAAAGTTGGATGGTGGGCACTTATTGGTATGATTCAATGGGTTAATAACAAAATTACACATTTAAAATGCAGTGGACGATTGCTAAGTGGAGTATAATATGCCATATAAATGTCGCAGGTAGTCAAATAAACAGCTTGTCGAGTTGCATCATCATGACAAAATTCAATGAATATGGTCAGTGTCTTTAGCTACCGCCTTGACGTCTCGAGGTGGTACGTCTGGTGGTGGGGGAAAACAATGATTATCAGAATGATAGACATTGGAATAAAGTAGAAAATACACGGAATAAATTTCATTTGCATTGCATGCAGGTTTCTCAGCCGGTATCCATAAATTGAAACTCCATCACTGTTAGTCTCGATCACTGATGCTGATGCTGCCACATTCTGATTTTCATGGAGGACGGAGGGGCGGAGCAGGTTCGATTTCAATGCGCTCCGCTGCTGCATGCAGTGGTCCACATGGGCGG